GCTAAGCTACCCATTTAGCGAGGTAGCAGTGGTTATACCTACCTGTATCCAGGCTCGTGTCTCCCTGTCACGGATCAATGATTTTCTCACTGAGAAAGATATTTCCAAAGATGTTGTGACTGTGAATAATGATTCAGGTAAATAGGTAAATGTCTTATACGAGTTAAGAGGATCAACTTCATGGCCTTGGGTTATCCCTTATGGCTCGGGCTCACTCTGCTGAAGAGAGCATTGCACAAAGCACACTGTTAAGCTCCAGCAGTGATCCCCTGGTATCTCCATTAAAATTGAACTCGAGCTGTGTCTGCGAAACAAACAAGCAACCTTCAGAGCAACAGGCGAATGCTTGACTATTTCACCAAGGGGACCCTTGCATATAGTTGTCTGGGAAAGAATAGAACTAAGATCAGATAAGGCTAACCTGGACAGTAAATGCCCGCAGATGTTAGATGTATCGATAGAAAGGTGCAAAATTGCAGCCATGTAAATAGGCAGAAGAAGAAGATTGACTGCCTTGAGTCTCCAGGATTCTGTTATTTTCTCACATCTTCTTTCATGTTTATCTCTTATTCTCTTGCTTGAACTCACATATTTGAATTTTCACTTTTCTGTTTTTGTTTTTAGTTCCTCCCTTTGTTTCTTATTGTGCAACTGTTTTGTATCTAATATTGTATAATGTAAAAGAATAGTTATAGAACAAATGTTATTAGTTATTTTACACTTGTGAAGCTGCTGAGGAGGAGAGAGCACCTATGGATCTGCCTGGAGTGATGATAGTCCTCACTACTCACAAATATAAAAGAACAATAAAATGCCCACAATCTGTGGATAAAACGTGAGCAACAAATCCCAGCCAGCCTATTTGTGAATGAATGAATGAATCAAGAATTGACATCTCCGCACTTATGACATCCCCGTAATGCTCTGTTTGCTCACTCAGTACCATTGTTTTTCCTCCTGTGGGTAACAAGGCAGATGTGGTCAAGGCTCTTCTTTGGGAACAAGCAACGGAATCAGTAGAGAAAGATTATTATTTTTGACTGAAGAGGATGAGGCACCTGGGTGTAACCAAAGGGTCTGGCTGGCTCATTACACTCAAGAGGAAAGGCAAGACGGACATATAACCAGATTTTGACCGGTACCATCAGTATTGGAACTCTGCGTTGGCTGCTGAAGATGACGGAGCATGCATGGGAATGCCCTGAGTGCTGTGATGTCAGTTCTTGACTGATCCCAACTCCTTTTGTGGGACTGTCTGCTGACTCCCAGCTGAGTCATTCTCCTCAGATATGGACGATCTGTCTCATCTGCAGGACTGTACATTTGATTCCGTAGAGCCCACATCACGTCCACTTGATTGTAAAGTAGCTCTGTATTTGTCATGCGCTGCTTGGGTGATGGATTTGTTCATTGATTTGAAGGTTTCAACTATACCATTTATCCATCTCATTTTTGTTTGTTTTCCCCTCACCTTCCTCCAAGATGTTTTGCCGTAAAAAAATGTCAAATGAAGTTTGATCTGGCTGCATTCTCACTAAATGACTGAACCATTTCAGACAGTTTTATTCCAACATTATCTTTAGTTCTGGTATTTGTAACCCTGTCCCTTTTTGTTAGTGACTTTAACGAGAGAGCACATTTTTCAGGTAATTGAATTTGGTGCCCTATTTATTTTACATCTGATAATGTTGAAGATATTAAAAAAATGTAATCTATTTTCATGCCTTTATTCGCATCGGGTATATGGGAAGAGCACCCAGATTTTTACAGACCAATCAGCACTAAGTCTGTTTCGCAACACCAAGATCAAAATATATAAAACATTCATAAGACCAGTTGTGTTATATGGCTCTGAAACTTGGAGCACAACTAAAAGAGATGAAGCCTCATTACAGGTTTTCTGTTTTCTTTGGATCCATCAAAGATGCAAACAGCGGTGAATGGAGAGTGAGAAGCAACAATGAAATTCATAATCTTTTTAAATCACCACTGATCACTGGCATCATTAAAGCTAATAGACTGAAATGGTTGGGGCATAGTAAAAGAATGTCAGATGACAGAGAAGTAAAAACTGTATACACCAGGGAGATGGATGGTCCTAGACCACGAGGGAGACCAAGCAGACGATGGAAACAGACAGACTTGCAAACACTTGGTGTTACCAACTGGAAAGAGAAGGCTAACCAGAGTGATGAATGGAGGCGAATGATATCTGCAGCAATGAACCTCAAGGGATCGGAATGCTGAAGAAGAAGAAGAATTAGCACTAAGTGGGTAATGTGGTCATCATTATGCCAACCATCTACTTTCCCAGGACATACATCCTGGTACCCACTTTAGACTGAGTCGACCTGCGACGCCCCATACCATGATAAAAATCCATGCAGCTAGCAATGGGTTTCGATCGCAGCACATTGGAATTACAATGCAACGCTCAAACCTCGGATGCCGTCTAAAGATATAAGATATGCTGAAAATAAACCAGTATAATCAAAAAATAAACCAGTTTAATCAAAAAACAAACCAGTTTAATCAAAAAATAAACCAGTTTAATCAATTTCAGAGTCTGCTGTTACTATCAGTGATGGGACTTTTACATGGGACACTACTCAACAACCAACACTTAGAAAGTAAGTTATAATATTATTATTTGTTAAGATGGTTTAGAGTCCTAATGGTTGACTGGTTGAGATCATTGACTGGTTGAGGTTATTGACTGGTTGAGGTCATTGACTGGTTGCTTGAGGTGGTCGGCTGAAACAGTTGGTTGACTGAGATTAGATGGTTGGCTATTTGGTTGTAGGATTGGCTGAAATGACTAGCTGGTTGGTTCTTCTTTCTCTTTGTTCCCCCTTGATTGTGTCTGTACAAAATCATTATACATGATTGTCTAGCATTCACATGAACCAGTCAACATGTTATGTAAACTTTTACATCTTATGTTTGATGGAGTCTGAAGAACTCTGACAACATATTTGTCCCCTGCAAGGGTTTTTATTTGGCATTTCTGTAAGTAGTATACCCTTGAGTTTAGTATGGCCAGTCATAACTCCTTTGGACATAAGCTAGAACCTTGTGAGACTAAACAAGTGATTGAACAGTGATTGGCCCATCTGTTGTGATTTACAGCTAGGCTGTGATATCCATGCATTTTGGCTTAACACAGATTTCAACAGACTTAAATAAGTCGCCTTTCACAACATGCTGGTTAGGGGCCAGTGGGTTTTTCTCACCCCAGGATGGAGCTCCCAGGTAGAGTGGTTGGTTAAGGTGGTTGGCTGGCTGGCTGGTTGACATGGTTGGCTGGCTGGTTGATGTGATTGGCTGACTGGTTGATGTGATTGGCCGGCTGGTTGATGTGGCTGGCTGGCTGGCTGGTTAAGATTGGCTAGCTGGTTGATCTGATTGGCTGACTGGTTGATGTGATTGGCTGGCTGGTTGATGTGATTGGCTGGCTGGTTGATGTGATTGGCTGGCTGGTTGATGTGATTGGCTGGCTTGTTGATATGATTGGCTGGCTGGTTGATGTGATTGGCTGGCTGGTTGATGTGATTGACTGGCTGGTTGATGTGATTGGTTGGCTGGTTAAGATTGGCTAGCTGCTTGATGTGATTGGCTGGCTGGTTGATGTGATTGGCTGGCTGGTTAAGATTGGCTGGCTGGTTAAGATTGGCTGGCTGTTGATGTGATTGGGTGGCTGGTTGATGTGATTGGCTGGCTGGTTGATGTGATTGGCTGGCTGGTTGATGTGATTGGCTGGCTGGTTGGCTGGCTGGTTGATGTGATTGGCTGGTCGGTTGATGTGGTTGGCTGGCTGGTTGATGTGATTGGTTGGCTGGTTGATGTGGCTGGCTGGCTGGTTGATGTGATTGGCTGGCTGGTTGATGTGATTTGCTGGCTGGTTGATGTGGCTGGCTGGCTGGTTGATGTGGCTGGCTGGCTGGTTGATGTGGCTGGCTGGCTGGTTGATGTGATTGGCTGGCTGGTTGATGTGATTGGCTGGCTGGTTGATGTGATTGGCTGGCTGGTTAAGATTGGCTGGCTGGTTGATGTGATTGGCTGGCTGGTTGATGTGATTGGCTGGCTGGTTGATGTGATTGGCTGGCTGGTTAAGATTGGCTAGCTGCTTGATGTGATTGGCTGGCTGGTTGGCTGGCTGGTTGATGTGATTGGCTGGCCAGTTGATGTGGTTGGCTGGCTGGTTGATGTGATTGGCTGGCTGGTTGATGTGGCTGGCTGGCTGGTTGATGTGATTGGCTGGCTGGTTACTGTGATTGGCTGGCTGGTTGATGTGGCTGGCTGGCTGGTTGATGTGGCTGGCTGGCTGGTTGATGTGATTGGCTGGCTGGTTGATGTGGCTGGTTGGCTGGCTGGTTGATGTGGCTGGTTGGCTGACTGGTTGATGTGGCTGGCTGGCTGGCTGGTTAAGATTGGCTGGCTGGCTGGCTAGTTGACATGGCTGGCTTGTTGACATGGCTGGCTGATTGACATGGCTGGCTGGTTGACATGGCTGGCTGGCTGGCTGGCTGGCTAGTTGATATAGTTGGCTAGTTGATATGGTTGGTTGGCTAGTTGATATGGTTGGTTGGCTATTTAATATGGTTGGTTGGCTAGTTGATTTGGTTGGTTGGCTAGTTGACATGGTTGGCTGGCTGGTTGACATGGTTGGCTGGCTTGTTGACATGGTCGGCTGGCTAGTTGATATGGTTGGTTGGCTGGCTAGTTGATATGACTGGTTTGCTAGTTGATATGACTGGTTGGCTAGTTGATATGACTGGTTGGCTAGTTGATATGGTTGGTTGGCTAGTTGATATGGTTGGTTCTCTAATTGATAAGGTTGGCTTGTTAGTTAATACATTGAGATACAGTTGGCTTGTTGGTTGAATAACATGAGACTAATTACTGAAAACTCATGACTGCATTGTCTGACCAAGATCAGATACTTAAAATAGAATAATTGTAAACCAAAGAAAACCATCTTGTTTATGTTTCTGTTACAGTATCAGTCTGGAGATCCCCAAAGGCGGACTTGTTGCTGTGGTTGGCATGGTTGGGTCAGGGAAGTCCTCACTTCTGTCGGCCATGTTGGGTGAGATGAAAAAACTAGGTGGAAATGTCGCTATACAGGTTAATAATCGATTATCATATATCTAATGTAACATACCAGATTTCTTTTTTTTTTTTTTTTTTTTTTTTTAAATGAGTAGAAATATATGTTAAATACAAGCTTTAACCAAATTTTGCTTACTAAAATTCTGTTTGAAACAAAAATGTACTTTTTAGCTTCTCTGCAGCTTTTTTAAATTAGTTAGTTACTGGACAGATTTTTCTCATTGCACATCAAAATATTCAGTCCAGAAGTGCTCGGTTTCCCGCCTGAATAATTCCGCAGCATGTAGCGGCTCACCACACCAGTTCTGTGTTGGTTTCTTATTCTTTTCTGACTTCCTCCATAGTGCTAATTGTGCTTTTAACATGTTGTTCTTGCAGTCTGGTCATTGTTGCAGATTCACAATCATCACTTGGTTCTCGTGAAAGTCTTACTTCTCATAATGCATTTAGAATATCCACATGGTCCATGGCTCGTCCGCCCTTCACAGTTTCTCTACCTGCAATGATTAGCTGGCTCATTTCCTGACATGCCTGCTTGCCCTGGCACAAATATGAAACTGATATGTGTTAGCCTGGACTGCGTTAGAGTCTCCACCCACCGTCTTCGGGTCCAACCCTCCTCTATATTACAGAGCATGCTCACTGAGTCAATGAGAAAGCATGCACGGGAAAAGGTCTGTGTCTCCTGCCATGTTTTTGCTTTGGTCATTGCCAGGACCTCCATAGTCAGACCTACTTGTGGTCAAGGCACCAGCACGAGAATCTTGCTTCACACTCCAGCCTGTGCGGTAAAAGCCCAAGAGCTTCTCACATAGCGAATTACAGACCCATCTGTGTAAATTATAGCATCATCCTCTAGAGTTTTCTCGAAAATCAAAGCCTGCACTTCTGCCTCAACATTGGCTGGTCTTTCTTGTCTGCATTTTCTGTCTGTTTTTTTAAATTAGTAGTTAGTAGTAGTAATTACTATTAGACAAGCCCGAGGGAAACCTTTACAAACCATGTTAGGCTATGTCAGCAAATGATCTTAGGACCATCATTAAAATCATACCTGAAGTTGGTTATGTTTTCAGAGTTTAGTGCACCATGAACATAAATTTAAGAGCATCATAAAAATAAGGTAACAAATATATGTACAAATAGGTTAACATGATAGATTGACATGTAAAAAAAAAAAAAAAACGGCAGCAACCATAGCCAGAAGGAAGATAGTTTTCCTGAAAAAGCTAAGTGGAACAACATAGGGTGCTAATGAGAAATACTTTATGAAAGTTTATCATCAACAAAGTGTACGACCATACTTTGAACCTGGGTCAAATACATGTTCAGCATAAAAAAACCACACTAAAAAAAGTCAAGACAAGGTGCAAAATCAAGCACCCGGTCATAATAGGCGGAATGAAATCAACACCTATAACCGTGATGGAGACGACGGCAATGACCAAAACACTGGAAGAATGCAGAGAAACCAAGTTATTAGTACAGGAAGAAAATTTTCTCAGCATGCCTGAACATGAATATTCTCAGTTAAAGTTTCAATCTACTTAAATGTATTTATGGCAATATAGTAACACTGATAGTCTGAATCATATACATCTGGAGTTCACACTTATTCATAAACATTACAAGATCACGTTATCTCAGAAAGTAAAAGAAATAATTTAGTTTGCTGTCCCCACAGGGCACCTACTAGTGTTTTAAAATATTGTGCCTTCAAAGTCCCAGCAACTATGAACCTCTTTTAAACTACAGGACAAAAAGTAAATGCAATGGTACAGACATGTAAAAATATCTAACGGCCTCTCAAAAAAATACTACAGGGCTCAGTAGAGGGGAAGAGAAGAAGAGGCAGACCAAGATGGAACTGGATAGAGAACCTGACTGACTGGACAGGGCTTGCACAAGCAGCCATGAAGTTCATTGTACTTAAAGTGAGCTGATCAGTCAACAGCAGCTGGGGATCCAACGACACACAGTGTTACAGGATGACAATGATACAGTTTCCAATGTCTTCCACAGTGGGAAAGTAAGGGGTCACCTTACTGACAGTATTAAACGCTGTCCTCCCCGTATTTAGTCCGGAACCCCATTTTTGAGGGCAGAAAGAACAGACTGCCTGCCTTCCTATCAAGATGTTGTGAAACGCAACTAATTAGGTTTTTCCCTCCCTCAGTCGGAGTGCATCTGCCTGAGAGGCAAGGAATCAGCAGTCTGCATGCAAATAAGCCAGATCTGTTAAATCGATTTGCATGCAAAATTCTAAAATCGATGTGCAAAATTTAAGTTATGAAACAAGACCAAAGTCCAAAAGTGGACAAACAACCAGAACTTTTAGCTATACTTCACAAGCTGGTGAATGTAAAGAAAAAAACACATTATGTGCCTTTTCAAAAGGGCTAAGGGCTCACCATATCCTCTCAATAGAATATCATTGAGCTTTTTAGAACTGCCATCACAACATCTGGGACACTCCCATAAGTACTGTATTCCTGTCTTCAGCAGCAAGCACAGAGTTATGTTTGTGATGGTTCAATAGCAGCATGAAGTGTAGTGCTTGCCAGATTTTCTTGCCAAGTGCTGCTGTTTATTAGCTCGCAGAGGGCCCTAACCACATCAATGAAATTCTCTCTTTTTTTCTGAAAATTATCAACTCATATTTGTTCAAATATTGACAGAGCAACACAGCTTATGTCTCACAGGAAGCTTGGATCCAGAATGCATCTCTCCAGGACAACATACTGTTTGGTTCCAAGTTCAAATCCCAGAAGTACAAACAGGTGGTCAAAGCTTGTGCCTTGGATGATGACTTCAAAAGGTTGGCGGCAGGTGATAGGACAGAGATCGGAGAAAAGGTAAGTCTATATATATTGGGGGGGGGGGGGTGTGTGTGTGTCAAATTTTGAAGTTTTAAGGATAGATAGTTCTCCCTGTAGGCTCCAGGTAGTCTGTTCAGTTGTTTATAAATTCCTTGATGTTAGAATTATTTTATTTGTAATGACCACTCCTTTCTGACACTCACCAGTGTGTCCCAGTTCAATCTGGGGTCTTTCTGACACTCACCAGTGTGTCCCAGTTCAATCTGGGGTCTTTCTGACACTCACCAGTGTGTCCCAGTTCAATCTTGGGTCTTTCTGACACTCACCAGTGTGTCCCAGTTCAATCTTGGGTCTTTCTGACACTCACCAGTGTGTCCCAGTTCAATCTGGGGTCTTTCAACATTGACCTAGCTTCTCAGATCAATCCAGGCGAAAACAGGCATTAGGAAATGTCTGTGGCTTTGGTATTATGAATGTGCTTCCTAATTCTGAGGTGCCGGGTTTGAACTCAACTGTGGGTGATTTAGTAACAGATTACCTTGCATTAGTTCTGATAGTGGTATCAAAAGCCCACCATTAGGAAAGCAAACTACATAATTTAAAATTACATAGCGAAATCGCAACAAGTTAAAAGACAACAATTTTTTTAATTTTTTTGTTTGTTTAGGAAGTAAAGGTGTGCCTAGGATGACATCAACATTAACATTGAAGTGGAGATTAGTGATATTAACATAAACATTGAACTGGAGATTAGTGATATTAACATAAACATTGAACTGGAGATTAGTGATATTAACATAAACATTGAAGTGGAGATTAGTGATATTAACATAAACATTGAAGTGGAGATTAGTGATTTGAAGTGGAGATTAGTGATATTGACATAAACATTGAAGTGGAGATTAGTGATATTGACATAAACATTGAAGTAGAGATTAGTGATATTGACATAAACATTGACGTAGAGATTAGTGATATTGACATAAATATTGAAGTGGAGATTAGTGATATTGACATAAACATTGAAGTAGAGATTAGTGATATTGACATAAACATTGAAGTAGAGATTAGTGATATTGACATAAACATTGAAGTAGAGATTAGTGATATTGACATAAACATTGAAGTAGAGATTAGTGATATTGACATAAACATTGAAGTAGAGATTAGTGATATTAACATAAACATTGAAGTAGAGATTAGTGATATTGACATAAACATTGAAGTAGAGATTAGTGATGTTAACATAAACATTGAAGTAGAGATAAGTCTATAAAAAAAATAGAGCTATTAATGTGACCAGTACTTTGAAAAAAAAAAAACAGAAGTGAAAATTTTAACTGAATGTTATTGTGTAGTTAGGCAATAATTTAGGTATAGAAATTTGTGGAGGTCAAAAGGAATAAAAACTAAAAATTGTCAATCCCGATGTTAACAGTACTGCTGTGTGAAACAGAAACATGAACGACTGAAACAGTTACTTCTTCTTCTGCCTTTCTATCCCCCAATGGAACATAGGCCCTCAACCAACTCACGCCAAGTTGTTCTATCCTTCGCCATTGCATGGAGCTCTCCCCATGTCCTCCCAATCTTTCTAATCTCATTCTCCAGCTCTCTTCTCCATGTGTTTTTTGGCCTTCCTTTATTCGTATGCCCCTGTGGGTTAAAACAGTTACTAATTAACTACAAACATTCATTAACTGGTGCCTGCACAAAATAGATGGAATCAAATGGTATGATATAATTACAAATGCTGAGTTATGGGAGTGAACTTAACAAATTCTAGTGCATCAAGAGGTCAAGGGCACTGGCTTTGGATAGTGTAAATGATCAGAAAACATAACTAGGTCTTTGCATTACAACCCACTGGGACATAGAAGTAAAGACCCCCCCCCCCCCCCCCCAACAACAACAACAACAAAAACATGTGAAAGGAACTAGAGAGAAGTAAAAAAGACCAGCGGTAAACTAAATGTACCAGGCTTTATGCTAATTTTTCCAATCCACTGTGGCACTTGAAATGGCTGAAAAATTTCAGCTTCCGAAACATACTTACTTACTTACTTAGTCGCTCCTCTTCTACCTTGGGGTGTAGAGGTTTGCCAGAGAGATCGCCAGACGTCTCTATCAGCAGTTTTCTTTCTGGCTTTGTTCCATTCCAGTCCTCTGTCAGTTAGGGACTGTTGGATGTTGTCTTCCCAGCGCACCCTGGGTTGTCCCGGAAGTCTGGTTCCCTGGTTCTTAGCCTCCCATGCTTGCCATGGTGGCCGATTTTCTCCCATTCTGCATACATGTCCAAACCATCGTAACTGTGACTGATCTACTCGGGTTAGTAAGGGCTGGGTATCAAGATCTTGACGTATTGTCTGATTGCGGACTTTGTCCCTTCTTGTCACTTGGACCACCTTTCTCAGGTATCTCATTTCCGAGGCCTGCAGCTGGCTTCTGTGAGCTCTACTTCAGAAACATGATGCTGTTTATTATTGTTAAAATCTTTAAGAATGTCAGTATTTCTGTTCTTCTGCGTCCATGGTATTCTGAGAATCTTTTCACGGATGGCTCTGTGTTGAGGGGCAGATGAAATGCAAGGAGTTTCATAGCAAAGGCGAATGGACGTCACTTAGTGCAGCAAAGCCTTACATATATGATATCACAACGTCTAGTTTGAAAATGGAGGGGGAGGCAGTCTCTGCTGCTGTCCGCAGGATTGAGAATCTGCTGTACACACATGCTGTGTTTGTGACTCACAGAGCATGTTGAGAAAGGTGAAAACAGGCATACTATGTGCAAAGTGGCAAGTATCACCAAAGGTCCTGGGTAGTTGGCAACCTTTGGATATTTTCTCCAGGCAATGCCGGTGTGTTGGGAAATGAGGAGGCAGATAGACTGGCTGGCTCTGCACCACCTGGTGGTGAATTGATGTTTGACAAGTTAGATATTATGAGGGCTCTTTGGGAGCGAGTGAACAGTGCGGAGACGCAGATCATTACAGTCTAAGGAGAATGGCGCTGCCAGGAGTTACCAGGGAATCTGGCCAACACTCAGGGGAAGGATAAGACCGATATACAATCAGATGGTTACTGGTACCATCGGAACTGGAACTCTTGGCTTGCTGCTAAAGATTGGGACTGAGCACTTATGAGAGTGTCCCGAGTGCTGTGATGTCGATTCTTCATTCAACATTTTGAGAATCTTTCTTTAGCATTTCAGCTCAAAAGCCCTTATTTTCTTGTTTGAAATTCTTGTTGTTCAGACATTTTTGTTCTCCAGGGCGTAAATCTGTCAGGTGGTCAGAAACAGCGAGTCTCCCTGGCCAGGGCAGTCTACAGTGAGGCTGACCTCTACTTACTGGATGACCCCCTCAGTGCTGTGGATGCTCATGTTGGCAAGCACATATTTCACCAAGTTATTGGCCGCAGTGGAATGTTAAAGGGCAAGGTATGAGTTAATATTTTTATAAGTGATCCGTCTTTTGTTCCTGATATGGAGGAAGGATGAAACAGATATACAGTCAGACGGGTACTGGTACCTTCGGAATTGCAACTCTTCGCTTGCTGCTGAAGATAGGGACTGAACACTTAACGGGAGTGTCCCAAGTGCTGTGATGTGGATTCTTAAAACATTCAAAATTGTTCCTGATATGGATTCCAGGGACCCCATTTTTTGATGAGTTGAAAAGAACAGACCCACCACTCTACCCCCTTATAAGCATGTCATTAAAAAATGATTAATTATGGGTGTTTTCTTTCAAATTACATCTGCCTGTGAGATGAGAAACCAGCAGTCTACATACAAATAAATGAGAGCTGTAAAACTGATGTGCACACAAAATTCTAGTTCTGAAACAAGTTAAAAGTCTAGAAGTGGACCAAAAAACCTGTTTACCAGAGTTTACAACGTTGAGACAATTTTTTGTTTTATTTTTCCTTGCCCCTTTTTGTATTCTCCTTCAATGATTGTTTCCTGTTTTCTTGCTTGAGCATCGTGGCATCCTTGCCCTTCTTTGTCTCTTTCTGCTGTGTATTGCTGCCTTTTCCTCTTCTAATTATTGTTACCATCATGATTATAATATTACTTCTTATCTATCACTTTTTAGCTGACTCAAATAAAACATATATATATTTCTTCTTACGTCGTTTTCATACTTGAATGTTGAATGTTCATTGAAGAAACATCTAAGCATTTAGGACAGTTCCATAAATGCCCCATCTTCAGCAGCAAACACAGTTAAATTTTTTTTTTACTTAAACTCCTTCAGTACCATGGACAAAATAGAGCCATTGCCTCCCCAACAAGCATGACAGACATAGGAGTTAACTAGTTGGGGACTTCTTTAAAGTTGGAGTGCATCTGCCTGAGGGATAAGGGACAACCAACTGCACACAAATAAGCCAGTAAAACAGATGTAACTTACATCCTGTCACAAAGCCAAAGTCCAAATTGACTAACAACTAGGACTTTTTGTGTCTGAGCTTACAGTCAGTGAACAAAGAAGACAGATTTATTTGATGGGGAGAGGGGGGTGTGAGTGAGTGAGTGGAGGTTCTGAAAGATCTTCAGTAATGAGGGGAAAACAAAGGCAGACTTGCAACTGGTTCTATTAGCATGTTGACTTTTATTTATTGGCTGCTGAAGATGGGGATGGAGGGTGTGGATGTCAGTTCTTGATGCGTTCAATTATTCATTCATAACAAAACAAAATCAATGTCAGTCTCTGTTTGACAACACACAGTAAGAAATGCCATTTTGTTGACATGCAGACAAGAATACTTGTGACTCATGGAGTCCACTGGCTGCCCTTTGTTGACCACATCGTTGTGATGAAGGATGGAATGATCTCCGAATGTGGCACCTACAGACGGCTGGTATCTCATAATGGAGATTTTGCCCATTTCCTCAAGGATGTATTCTCGCATGACAAAGATGAGAATGACACTGAAGGTAATTTTGTAAAAGCTGCTCATTTTGAGAATGAATTTGTGTGTAGGTTCTTGGCTTTAGTTTGGGAAAATTAAAAAAAAAACCTATGTAAAATTTAACATGTGAAATTAGATGCCTGAGAAAAGCCACCAACTGTGACAAAGTTAAAAGTGATATTATCAAAGAGACTGGGAACAATACCTTGCAGCAAATTCATTGAGAAACAAAGTCAAATGGTTTGGTCCTCTAGTAAGAGTGCAGCAAGAATAAGAGTAAGAGTGCAGGCACTACACATGAAAAGATCTGATGTGAAAGCAAGAGGTTAGGAGAATATGGATTTATGACATTAAAGAGCTTTTACATTGCTAGCAATGGATGGCAGACTGTTCTTCCCCATGACACTTAATGCCAGAATTGAAAATTAGTGATGATGTTAATAATGATGATGATGAAATTTACCTACTGACTGTTATTAACTAGCATGTTGTAAAAACTGACTTAACCTGCTGGAATCAGATGCTGCACTGTAAGGTGCAGATTTCTTAGCTTGGCTGTAAATGACAACACAGTGTGTAAACTATCCTGTAGGGATGAACAAGGACTGTGATACTGAAGGTAATACTGCTGCTCTCTCTGCCCTTTATTCTCAGTTCGGAGCATATACCCTCTCCCCTTTCAACCCTGACCCCTCAGTCAACTCATATCCAGCCCTCTTGTTTTGTATCTTATCTTCTTCTGTACTGCTTCTGTCCATCCTTTATTATTTATCTCTAGTTTTTAGGTCCTCCTATATTAATGGTATCCTTTGGATTCAGAGACAGCATTAATTCAGAGACAGCATTAATTCAGAGATAGCATTAATTCAGAGAGAGCATAAATTCAGAGAAAGCTTTAACATGTTGTCTGAAATTATGTCCAATCAAGGGTCAACACTTCTTAATTTGCTGAAACTGTAGTTCTCCTCTGAACCATTTTGCCTTGAGAGCTCTAAATAAAAAAAATAGACACCATTAGGATTTGTGAAAATAAAAATGTAACAACAGGTCACACAAAATTTGTTACAGATGTATTTATGGATTATTTGTTCATATTAAAAAAGTAAACAAATATGTAGGGGACGAAGTATTAAACTGAATACACCCCAAGGTCTAAAAGACACACCAGTATTGGGTGACTTATGACGTGACCCCATGACCTTCACCATGGAGGCTTACAAGAGTATCTGACATCATCTTGGCTTTAAAAAAGCCATTTAGAACAAAGGAAACACCATCGAAACGCTGTTGTGAGTTACAAATCCAGCCAATTGCATTAACTTTGCATCTCGTAAACAGGACACAAAAAGCAAGCTGGAAAAATAACACTGATAGGGAATGGACCCATTGGAAGTATCAGTTTTTCTGCTTCTCGGGGGGCAAGAGTTAGGCCTTTTTTGGTGATTCAGCATTACCATGTGTGTCCTGTTTTGTGAAATAACTAGTTAATGAATCATTCTTCATCTTTAGGACCCATGTTTATGATTTCATATTAGTTTAAATAATTTAAGTTTGGTATCAGGATTTTGAGAAGAATGCAAAGAATATCATGGAATAGTACCATATTTGTTGTCAATTGTTTGTAGAATTATAAAATAAATATTGTATGTAATTTCAGTCCAACTGATCAAAAAGAACATCTTAACACGCTTGGTGTTTTTAGATGAAAATGATCACCCATTAGAAATGTAAGTCTGTTTCATGAAACTGTGTTCTGTTAATGTCACTCATACCTTGTATTAACTGTGACTGATTTACTGATTGTATCAGTAAATAAATCTGTATTTCTGATTTCATTGGCACAGATTGACAGCACTGCAGAAATGTTCATCAGTCAGCATTTTAATGGAAGGTCATTCCATCACATTCTGTCTGAAATAGCCTGTCCCCTCACTGACTCTCCAGCATCGTGCACATTCCTGCCCATGGTGTCTCTTGTCCTGTGCCCATCTTTATTCTGGTCAGCCCCTGCCTATCTACCTGGTACCATGCCCTCCACTGTTTTATCCAGGCCGCCATAATTTGATATGGCCTAAGTATTTGTTTGCAAACAGATTTTTCCCTCAGTGTTCAGATCTGTTAGAATATCATTACTCATCGTGGTCCATTGTATTCTAAGAATTTTCTATAGTTCTTCAGTGCAAAACCCAATTTTCTTTATAAATTCTTTTTGGACATACCACCAATAATTCGGTGAGAGAATCCGCCCTGTTTTGCCAGTTTCCTAATTATCGGTTCTCAGCACAGACTCTAATATTGTTTTGTTTGGTAGGAAAATGAATTTTATGAACACATTTTAAAAACTAGAATTAGCTACATCAAGTATTATCATTTTCTTAGTGTAGTGAGGCGATAGGTTTAATTTATGATTGGTTGATATAATTTGTGTGTGATTTTTCAGACCAGCTGGTGGGGGGAAAAGGTCTAAAACTGTCTATACAGCTGCTGGATCTAAGCAATAGGGACAACAGTCTTGACATTTTGATTACTAATGCAAGTGCACAATCTATTGCCAATAATATAGGTTATGATAAAGTTGAACAAAATATTTCAACTGGATCGTATCTGTTTTGATCAGCTGTGTCCAGAATTTGGTTGTTGTGAAATTGAACATGTCCGACAAAATTGGTCATAAAATTCAAAGTATTTTGAATACTGAATAACCCCCCCCCCCCCCCCCCCCCCCCCTCCCCCCCCCCCCCCCACACCCAAAGATTTCCTGAAAGAATTAAATAATGCAATATGGTTGACCCACAAATTTATTTGTGCATGCTTTAAAAATTTAGATTTTGATTTGTTTACTGATAAGTCGTAGGTTTTTGCTGTTTAATTGTTGCATTGCTGTGACCATCCTCCTTGTGACTTCCGTTAGGTCTACATTGCTTTTTATTATGGCACTTGGAAATGTAAAGTTTGACATTTTTTTTAAATCACTCATGTCTGCCTGTGTAACATGAATTTTTTGTTGTTGTTATTTTTAATTCAGGAACAGTTGTATTTTATCTGCAGGAGTTTGCCAGAAGAGAATGTGGACTTGACAATAGACAGTGATACAGCAGACAACAGCACAAGTTTCCCTAGCAATGATTATGATGATAATGATAAAGATGTCAAGTTTAGTGATGTTGAAGGAAAGATTATAGATGAAGAGGCTACAGAAGTTGGCAGTGTAAGTTTATCTGATTACATTTGTCAGTAATGTGGTGAAAATGTTTTGTTGGTAGCAAACGTACAAGTTGTAATTCTAAATTGTGGCAACTGTTATTTAAGGTTAAGCCCCTTTCCACCCTAAAAAGTAAATGTTATTCCCTCTTGTACTTTGTGGTGCTGAGGTTAAATATAATTTACGGCAACGTCTCCCAAACTTTTCTAAGTTGCTGCCCCTTTCATCAATTAAAATTTTGCCTAGCCTAAGTAAAAGTGTGAATATTCATATGTAAGAGATAAAAAAAAAAGTAAAACTTGTGTATCTTCAAATATTTCACGGCTCCCATGTGAAGAGGTTGCGGCTCCCCAGGACGTCACAGCACACAGTTTGGGAACCACTGATTTACGGGAAAAGGCCCAGTGGTTGATTTGTGGATGCGGATTCTTAGGGACTGTGTCCGTTGTTTGCATAGGGAGCCTTATTTTTCCATTTTCCACTGTACATCATTGGTTGCTCTGGTGTACTGTTTGTTGGTATCCACGTAACATGGCCAAACCATTTCACTTGTTCTTTTCTAATAATATGCAGAGCAGCTGCCGCTACCCCCATTCTCCTTTGGATTTAATCATTTCTGATATAATCTCTTGTTGTTGTATTAAAAATCTTTTACAGGAATCTCATTTGAGGTATTGTTCTTCCCTTTTTTTTCTTTCACTGTCCTAGTATGACACTGGTAGCACAGGAGGAGACTATCTCATAGACTGCTCTCTTGCTTTCTACTGACATGTGTTTGTTTCTTAGTCTTCTTCTTCTTCTTTATGTCCTCTTTTACTGCTTTGGGTGTTGAGGGAGATATGATGTCCTGCTTCATGGTCTTCTGGCTGCTTCAACCATAGACACATCATGGTGCTGTAGAGTTTCTATGATATCGTCCCATCTTGTTCTTGGTCTACCTCTTGCTCTACGTCCTCCTATTATGGTAAATGGCTTGTATGGTGTAACATCAGGAGGCAGTCTCTCCAAGTGGGCAAACCATGTGATTTGCTGTCATTCTATGTAATTTAGAATTTGTTCTTTGCCGACTTGATCTCATATGACCTTATTCCTGATTTTATCTCTTCTGGTCACTCCTACTGTGTTTTTTAGATTCTCATTTCCATGGTTACTAGTTTGTTTCCCAGTACTGGTGCCATTTGCCCAAGAGTTAGTTTGCTCTGTTACGTCAGTCATTAATCCCATCTTCCGATTTACCAGCTGATGATATTATGCATCTTAAGTATTTGAAGTTCTTAATTAGTTTCAGAGGGTGTTTCTTTAGCCTGCATATTTATTGTTGCATATTTTGGTTATGGTCATGACCACTGTTTGGTGGTGTAAATTTGAATGTTATGCTAACCTCTTTACATGCTTGGTTTAAATCATATGTATGGTCTTGCAGTCCTGTTTCTGAAGCAGCCTTGAATGGTAAATACTGACAGTAGATAGATTTTGAAATCATTTATAATTATATATTGACAGTATAGGCAGGTTTGATTAATACATTGTTTACCTAAACTTGCAGGTCTCACTGGCTGTGTATAAAGAGTACCTGCTGACCTTTGGACCCCGCTGGGTCGTGTGTTGTGCTATGATGTATGCTGTCATGCTAGCAGCTCGAAATTTCAACACTGTGTGGCTGGGAAAATGGACAGAGGATCCGCGGATGGCTCGTCAATCACTAGTGGACACAACGGATTACAAGTCTGCCTTGTGGATGTACATTTGTGTGTATGCATTCTCTGGCATCTTAGAAAGTAAGTCTGTTTGTGTTATATATTAATGTTATGGGGAGTCACTATGTGGGTTCGCTCCCTAGCAGAGCTGGACTTATTTTTCTTCAAAAATGACTGACTCCCAGGTCGACCCAGCCTTGAGTGGGTACCAGGTGCAGTCCTAGAAAGTAAAGATGGCTGGCACGATGCTGACCGTGTCACCCATCTTGTGCCAATTATTTAATAAAAATATAGGTCTAGCCCTATACGCCTAAAGACGTTGGAAAGGGTCCTTTACTTACTCATTATTCTTCTAGGGTCTGTGGACCGATAAAATTATAAGACAGTCATCGAGTATGTGGATAGTGGTATAAGAGTTGCACTGTGGAAGAGATTGGGACCAATATAATATTCCCAAAGACAGCAGTGGGGTGCACTGCAGCAAAACTCACTTGAAAATATAGGTCTGCACCATATTGCTGTTGCACTGACATGATACTTCAGTTAACTTTTCCCCTACACATGACTATTCCTGGGAAGCGAAGGCAACCGGCATGATGTTGACCACATTACGCAGTGAGTGCCTATTGATCTATAAAATATGTCTGGCACCATTAGGCCCAGTATGCAGGAAGGTGGGGAAAAATGATCCATTACATTTTACTTAAATGTAGCAGTCTCCATGGTGATCATACCATGTGACTCAAGCTTTGAAGGAAGTGGGTTCATTTCACAGCAGTGCTGTTCAGCTTTCAGTTAAAACGTGCACAATTCACAGAGATCCTTATGGATCGTTGGCAGAGCTATGGAGGTTGTGCTGTGTGCGACACTTTCAGCAGGCAGCTAGCTGTTCTCTGAAAAGTGACTGAGCCATATGGGATTAAACCCGGTGCAAAGAAGTCTCTCCTTTTATCTTTACCTTTAGTGAATTGAAATATCTAGGTTCATATATTATTTTGTAGAGGAACTAACAGTGTTGCGGAATTTTCAGGGGAAACAGAATGAACCCACAGCCCCACTTACAGCCTTGTACCGGGTGACTGAATAGGGATGTATCCTAAATCTGAGTGTATCTGCATAAGAAGTTGAAGGTTAAAGATAAAATTTGAGAGGATCGACTTTATTGCACCGGGTTTGATCCCATATAGCTCGGTCTCAATACGGCTAACTACCTACTGAGAGCATTGCACAGAGCATGAACCCCATAGCTCCAGCAACAATCCCCAGTGTTAGTATCTGCTTAAGAGTTGAGAAATGAACAATCTGTTTTGAAAAAATAAGCTAGATGTACAAAACGGATGTGCATGCAAAACAAAAAGTTTTGGACCATGACTTTCTGCAGGATTCTACAGCTAGTGAATGTGAAGTTTGTCTTGCAGGGCTTTATTCCTGTTGAACCTAGAATAGTTTGTAATTTTTAAAGATGACTGTTTTGTCATTTCATTTTTAAAAATAAAATGTAAATGTACAAACACCCCGCAATCCACAGTTGTCTCGGCCTTCTTGTTCAGCCTCACAGTTAACATGAGGTCACTGTCGGCTGCCACCCTCCTGCACACACAATTACTGACCAAGATCTTGCGTTATCCAATGACATTCTTCGATACAACTCCCACAGGTAATTTACATTTTTGTAAACTCGGATCAGTGTTAGATTGTTTCCGTAGTGGAAGATGGAATTTTGTTTCCGTAGTGGAAGATGGAATTTTGTTTCCGTAGTGGAAGATGGAATTTTGTTTCTGTAGTGGAAGATGGAATTTTGTTTCTGTAATGGAAGATGGAAATTTGTTTCTGTAGTGGAAAATGGACATTTGTTTCTGTAGTGGAAAATGGAAGTTTGTTTCTGTAGTGGAAGATGGAAGTTTATTTCTGTAGTGGAAGATGGCAGTTTGTTTCTGTAGTGGAAGATGGAAGTTTGTTTCTGTAGTGGAAGATGGAAGTTTGTTTCTGTAGTGGAAGATGGAATTTTGTTTCTGTAGTGGAAGATGGAAGTTTGTTTCTGTGTGAATTAGACAAGAATATTATACAAGCTGTAAAATGAATAAATGAATGAATCGAGAAGTGGCATCATTGCACTTGGAACATCCCCACACATGCTTCATCCCCTTCTTCTGTAAATAGTACCAGTTGCAACCTGACTAAAGTTTTGCCTGTTTCTTCCTTAGTTTTGAATATCTTCAAGAACCTTGATATACCCCTTGCTGAATTAATCTTCAAGAACCTTGACATACCCCTTGCTGAATTAATCTTCAAGAACCTTGATATACCCCTTGCTGAATTAATCTTCAAGAACCTTGATATACTCCTCGCTGAATTAGTCTTTCAATGTATGAATTTTCTGTTCTATTGCACTGCCATTTGATCACAGAGAGACTTCACAGATGAGTGGTAGCAGCTAATCTATCAGCCTGCTCATTTTCATGCATACTTTTTTGAGGTACTGATGAGATCTCAGCACCTATGGATCTGCCTAGATGGCTCTAATGATAGTCTTCACTAATCTTCTACTAGAGTGCTAAAATATTTAACAGTTCAGTTTATATAATGAAAAGATCTAAATTTTTTATAATCACTTTCATTTACCTCCTCAAATAATTTAAGTGATCAGAATTTACAAAATCAGCTCACATTGTGACTAAGTATTTAGTGAACACAATAATCAATCAGAATGCTCAAATCTTATCAGTATTTCAGTGACATTTACTGGTAATGCTTTGACAGGTCGCATCATCAACCGATTCTCCAAAGATATTGACAGTGTTGATGAGCTCGGCGAAGCCCTGGATGGATACATTGAATGTGGTGGAGAAGTGCTGGCTAACCTGACCATGGTTATCTACATCACCCCCAGACTGATCCCATTTATTTGTCTTGTCACTGGAGTCTACATCTTCCTGCAGGTACTGTTTAGTCTTACATCTTCCTGCATGTACTGTTTAGTCTTACATCTTCCTGCAGGTACTGTTTAGTCTTACATCTTCCTGCAGGTACTGTTTAGTCTTACATCTTCCTGCAGGTACTGTTTAGTCTTGCATCTTCCTGCAGGTACTGTTTAGTCTTGCATCTTCCTGCAGGTACTGTTTAGTCTTGCATCTTCCTGCAGGTACTGTTTAGTCTTGCATCTTTCTGCAGGTACAGTTTAGTCTTGCATCTTTCTGCAGGTACAGTTTAGTCTTGCATCTTTCTGCAGGTACAGTTTAGTCTTGAATCTTCCTGCATGTACCTGTTTAGTCTTGCATCTTCCTGCAGGAACAGTTTAGTCTTGCATCTTCCTGCAGGTACAGTTTAGTCTTGCATCTTCCTGCAGGTACAGTTCAGTCTTGCATCTTCCTGCAGGTACAGTTTAGTCTTGCATCTTCCTGCAGGTACAGTTTAGTCTTGCATCTTCCTGCAGGTACAGTTTAGTCTTGCATCTTCCTGCAGGTACAGTTTAGTCTTGCATCTTCCTGCAGGTACAGTTTAGTCTTGCATCTTCCTGCAGTTACAGTTTAGTCTTGCATCTTGCTGCAGGTACAGTTTAGTCTTGCATCTTCCTGCAGGTACAGTTTAGTCTTGCATCTTCCTGCAGGTACAGTTTAGTCTTGCATCTTCCTGCAGGTACAGTTTAGTCTTGCATCTTCCTGCAGGTACTGTTTAGTCTTGCATCTTCCTGCAGGTACTGTTTAGTCTTGCATCTTCCTGCAGGTACAGTTTAGTCTTGCATCTTTCTGCAGATACAGTTTAGTCTTGCATCTTCCTGCAGGTACAGTTTAGTCTTGCGTCTTCCTGCAGGTACAGTTTAGTCTTGCATCTTCCTGCAGGTACGGTGTAGTCTTGCATCTTCCTGCAGGTACGGTGTAGTCTTGCATCTTCCTGCAGGTACGGTGTAGTCTTTGTATTTCTGCAGTACTGTTTGGTTAGCATACTCTTGCAGGTACTGTGTAGTCTGCGTATTTGTGTGGTACTGCTTAGTTAGCATACTCTTGCAGGTACTGTGTAGTCTATGTATTTGTGCAGTACTGTTTAGTTTGCTTACTCCTGTAGGTATTGCTTAGTCTACATCTTCCTGCTGGTATTGTTATAGAGCAGGAGCCACTTGCTGACTGAATTATTAAGAATGCTTTGCTTACATATGGAAGACCCTGGTTTGAACCCTTGGTACGGTAGGGGATTTTCTTCTGTTGGGGGGGGGGGGGGGGGGGGGCAAAAATAAAATCTTAACCTACAGTCCTTGGTGACAGCACTAGCCATTTGGTCCTAAATCCACAGGTGACAGCACTAGCCATTTGGTCCTAAATCCACAGGTGACAGCACTAGCCATTTGGTCCTAAATCCACCCCCCCCCCTTTTTTTTTTCTCCTACCACCTACACTGCAAAAGTGATAGTCCGTTATTGGCAGTTCTGTTTAGTCTACATATTCCTGCATACTTTATATACACATATTCATTTATGCGGGTACTGTACCATAGAGCAGGAGCTAGCAAGCAAGATTGCTCTTCTGTTAGTCATGTGTTCAAATCAATGTCACGGCAAAATATTCATAAAAATTTGACAAGAAGTAATGACATGTTTCCATCTTCAGAAACTGTACCATTTTCCCATTACTTTGTTCTTATCTGCCAAAACTGTCCATTAGCTCATAATTTTGTTCGTGTTCTTATCTTCAAAAACGGTACCATTAGCTCATTATTTGGTTCTCAATTTCAGAAACTGTATATCCCATCAGCCCGCCAGCTGCGGCGCTACAAGTCCAAGTTCTCCTCCCCAGTTTTTGTTCACTTCAAAGAGACACTTGATGGCACACACACAGTTCGAGCTTTCAAAGCTCAAGCTCGATTCATACGCAAAATGAAGAAATCGGTTGAGGATCGAGTAAGGTTTGACTTCATGGAGCTGGCCCTGAGGACTTGGCTAGGGATGAAAGTCTTCACTCTGTCCCAGTTTGTGTCACTGGCTGCAGGTTTGATCGTGGTGTGGGATGACTCTTTCTCCCCTTCACAAGCTGGCATGCTGCTTAGCTTTTCTTCATGGGTAAGTTTCTTTTTGCTGCTTTTTATTACGTGCAAGATAATATATATGTTGTCACATGAAAACTGCCCTTATTGTGTTAACATATATATATATATGTTGTCACATGAAAACTGCCCTTATTGTGTTAACATATATATATATGTTGTCACATGAAAACTGCCCTTATTGTGTTAACAAGTAAAATTTAAGGACCCTTTTCTGTAAGTCATATTGGACATATATGACCTATGTTTTATAAAGTCATATTGGACATATATGACTAGACCTATGTTTTATAGATCAGTGGGGACTTGGTTTGTGATGTTGTTAGCATTGCTCTGGGTGCATTTACTTCCCAAAACTTGATCTTGTACCTGTTTTTTGCTGGGTCAACCTGGGAGCCATTGTCATTAACAAATGGCCAGCTCTGTCGAAACTGAGCCCATGACCTTTAGATCCAGAGGTGAGCCTCTAGCCACTACACCATAGCGACTCCCTCATAGACAGTTTCATGTGAAATGTCTTTTAAAATATCTTGTTTATCAGTGCAATGAAGCTGCCTTCATAGTGAAATGTTTTATTTATATGTAATATCAGGGCAGTTTTCTTTACAGGTAAAGTATTTGGTGAAGCATGAGGAGTGTTTAGCCGTCTAAAACGGTGCTGGGAGTTCAGTTTTTTGTGTGGTTTCTGTGAAATTTCTTGGATCGTTCTGTTCCCATTCATGCACTGCTATTGTGTATGCATAGAGCTTGTTACAAAAGAGCGGGAAAATGGCCGAAAGATTTGGCAGCCTCTGCCATGTAGCTTTCACAGTGGCCCACTATCTAGGAAGACAATCTCATCAGTTGGGGACCACATACTGTCTAGAGAACACACTCGATGAAAGCTGTGTCCAGAACGGAATGTGCCAAACTTTCACTCAATCTCTACAGCCTTGATCAATTTCCTCAATTACGTATGTGTATATATATGTATATGGGGCAACGAAGGTCGACCTAGCCTAAAATGGGTACCATGATGGCTGTCCTAGGAATGTAAAGACGACCGGCGTAACGCTGACCACATTACCTACCTAGTGCCGATTGGTCTGTAAAAATATGGGATGCTCTTCTCATATGTCCGATGCGCCCAAGGCGTGAAAAAGGATCTTTACTTTACTTCTTATATATGTAAATACTCGCTAAACTGGGACTGAAGTGGAGGAAAATATAGAGGACAACCAAGAGAAACCGTAAGGGAGATAAGAAGCCAAGAAAGGTGTTGTACTGGATTCTGCCCTGATATTGAAGTGATTGCACAGGACGGAATTGAGAAATGAGACTGAGCCCTGTGTAATAATAGGACAAGAGAGCATTGAATGAATGAAAATTCCTTCTTGTTTTTCAGTTTGTGGAAAGCTTGTCCTGGTATGTACAGCACGCGTCTTACACAGAACAGGAACTGGTGTCTCTGGAGAGGGTCTTAGACTACTCAAACAGACCTGAAGAGGTGATAACCTTGATAGCTGTAAATTATAATGTGTTGTCAGAGTATGAGAAATGTCTTGTGTATCTGATAATCTTTCTGAAAAACTGACAGCTTTCCTACCATGATAACTAAAGTCATGTTTTATAGCCATTTTATTTCAGGCACCTTGGGAAATAGCTGAGAAAACTCCTGCAGATGCATGGCCACAAGATGGGGAGATCGTTTTTGAAGACTACAAAACTCGTTACAGAGATGGTCTTGATCTTGTACTGAGGGGGGTCACTTGTAGCATTGGCGGCGGAGAGAAGGTGAGCGTTGATCATAAATCTTGTTCTGTTGTTAGAGAGAGTACATGACATGTGCACAGGTCATTGTGTTCAGCTTTGTGTAGTGTTAACATCCTCTAGAAATTGTTGAGGCATCAGGATTAACCTACCCCTGAGTACTCTCTGTCTTTTACCAAACCAGTTGAATATAACAGCTTGCACATAGGACTTTGATAGCTGCCAGATTTATTAACACACATGTATAATATCTTGAACATTAGGACTATTAGGACTAAAAGTGTTAATCATGACTATTTCTCGCTAGGTTGGCATTGTTGGTCGGACTGGTGCAGGAAAGACATCGCTGACTGCGGCACTCTTCCGTCTGATAGAAGCAGTGGCTGGACACATCAGCCTGGATGGACATCAGATCTCAGCCATAGGACTTCATGACCTGCGCAAGAAAATCACCATATTGCCACAGGTTGGTCGCGAGATTTTCACATTATCTATCTTTTCTGCATGCCTATCTTCTGAAGTTTTGCATGTTCTTCCTTCCCTATCTCTGCTCTTCACCCTGTTCCCTCTAAGTATGTTGCCCTAGCCGGTACCACCTGTCTTCTGTTGACGCCGAATGTTGGGTTGTACAAGGTCAGACATTTAAGTAATGAGACGAAGAAACAAATTCCATCTATGAAGCAAAGCATGGAACATTCGGCTCTCCTATCAAATCCGGACGAAGAATAAAAAGCCTTGAACGACTTAGAGTTCTCTCCCTTGGCCGCACTGCAAACAGTGATCGGAAAAGCCAACGAAACAAACGACACGCTTACCTATCATCATACGGTTGCGTGTAGGGCTGCGTACGGTTGCGTGAGGCATCGTGAAGGGATGCGTAGTCATCATACGGTTGCGTGCAGGGGTGCGTACGGTTGCATGAGGCATCGTAAAGGGATTCGTAGTCATCATACGAACGAACTTTATTTTCAAAGGGTCACAAATTGGGAACGCAGGCCCGTCTTACATTCGGCCCTTCCAGTCTTCCAGTCTTCCAATACGGTTGCGTGTAGGGATGCGTAGTGTTTAGGTTTGAGTTAGGGGTAGGGTTAGAGGTAGGGTTAGGGTTAGGGTTTAGAGTTAGGGGTAGGGTTAGGGTTAGATGTGAAAATTTTGACGTAGGATTTCGAAATACTGGCCGACAATCTGATGTTTGTGGGAGTGGCGCCACTGAAACTCTGCCAAATATGATGCCAATAGCGTGCGGCTGGTGCCCCTAATCATTGGCGAAATGTGCGTTTGACCAGCATCCAGAGGCCCTAGATTGTTTGTGCGCGATTATAGGGAACTCCGGCGTCAAAATTGTCAAATCTAACGCTAAACCTAACCCTACCGCTAACCCTAATCCTAATCCTACTCCCTAGCCCTAACCCTAACCCCTACCCCTAACCACGCAAATTTATCGATCATTAAAGCATACAAATCGGCAAAAACCAACAAACAAAACACACCCAAAAAAAACAGAATTGTCCTGCAGCGTTAAAAAAAAAAAAAACCGAATCTGGGGGAAACAGCCAAGCATTGGCAGCCCTGATGTCGACGTGACTGTCTTCTTTGTTTCGTTGGCTTTTCCGATCACTGTTTGCAGTGCGGCCAAGGGAGAGAACTCTGACTAAGTCGTCCAAGGCTTTTTAGTCTTCGTCCGGATTTGACAGGAGTACCGAACATTCATCTATGATCTGGCAACTTTACATGGCCGCTCGATAAGCAGACAGCAAACAAGCTGCCATTTTGAAAGCGCTATTGAGACAGTTGCAAGAGTCAAAGAATGGATACAAGAAATCATTGTTTTACTGTGAGGATGGATGTGGCAGATAAATCTGGTATTAAGTTCATAACATTTTAGAGCAAGATTTTGACAAGAAAAAAGTTGCTCGTCGGTTTGTACCACTTTGTTGTCTGATGACCAAAAACATCAGCAGGTTGAGTACCTAAGACATAATTTAAAAAAAGAATTTTTGGCCCCAAAACAAGTGTCTTTTCTCAGTCTTCCACCATATTCCCCAGATGTGTCACCCTATGATTATTTTATATTGCTGATTGAAAGGACGCTTTTTTAACAATATTGTTTTGGCCCTTTGGATGTCATTGAACAGAAAGTCGCGCCTCTAGAGCTGTATCAATGCACAAGGGGAGCTTACTATGGAATTAAGTCTCATTACTTAATTGTTGGACCTGACCATATTGTGCCAGAGGATTACATAAATGAGAGGGTCAAACCACAATCTGTCCTTGTTCACTCGATCTCGGATTGTAAGGTTGGCGGCTTTTGTCAGGCATTGCATCTTGCTGATTGTATTAGTAGGCCCAGTAGTGTATGACTGTTGTGAAAGTGGTAATTAGAATAGGTATATATCATCATCTAGTGCCATGCTGACTGGCAAAACTGGATGGATATGTAGCCAACCAGAATTTTTTTCTAGCCCTCAATGACAGAGATGTATTGCATAAGATGTTCTTAATTTTATAAAATGCAGTCTTTGCCTTTCCTATTCTGTTTCTTTATCTCGATCATCTTCCATGTGTCTGCACATCCGTTTATCTGCTGATTTTGTTGCCTAATTATTCCGTGGCTCTTACTCCGCCATTAGATCCACAACCGATAGATCCACAACCGAGGACACACGGCTTTGTCGAATTGGATCTCCCAGCTTAATTACTCAACCAGGAAAAATATTTTGCTGGTTCGGAAAGGAGACGGTGACGCAGGTGGGACATGTTTGGATTTAGTGGTTGAGGAGTCTCTTGTGGGACCCTTGCTATCCAGGTACCAGGTGTGACCCAGGAACGATGGATGAGGTGAGATCTGTGGGTGTGTGGGCGTCAGTGGTTCTCTGTGGCTGTGTGGGCGTCAGTGGTTCTCTGTGGGTGTGTGGGCGTCAGTGGTTCTCTGTGGCTGTGTGGGCATCAGTGGTTCTCTGGCTGTGTGGGCGTCAGTGGTTCTCTGTGGGTGTGTGGGCGTCAGTGGTTCTCTGTGGCTGTGTGGGCGTCAGTGGTTCTCTGTGGCTGTGTGGGCGTCAGTGGTTCTCTGTGGCTGTGTGGGCGTCAGTGGTTCTCTGTGGGTGTGTGGGCGTCAGTGGTTCTCTGTGGGTGTGTGGGCGTCAGTGGTTCTCTGTGGGTGTGTGGGCGCCAGTGGTTCTCTGTGGGTGTGTGGGCGTCAGTGGTTCTCTGTGGCTGTGTGGGCGTCAGTGGTTCTCTGTGGCTGTGTGGGCGTCAGTGGTTCTCTGTGGTTGTGTGGGCGTCAGTGGTTCTCTGTGGGTGTGTGGGCGTCAGTGGTTCTCTGTGGGTGTGTGGGCGTCAGTGGTTCTCTGTGGGATGAGAGAGAAATAACTACAGTGAGAGAACCTCGTGAAGTCCTTCGCTAATACAGCGCTCGGCTAGTTACTTAACTCTTCGAGTCTCAGGGGGTTTATCATCACAGGCCCACGGGGTAGTAAATAGTCATAAAATCGGCGCATCTTGCGTTGATTGGGCTTCTAGGAAGGAACCTATGAACGTATGATGCGTTCCTTGGGACTCAAAGAGTTAATGTTATTGAGCATTTTGCACTGGTTGAACGAGGGGGAGCGAGAGAGAAAGGGAAATAACGAACTTTATATGTTCAGAGGGCTTGGAACTGAACACGCCGGTTTATCTTTTATTCTGTTCTCTGCCCTGAGAGAGAGAGAGAGAGAGTATGTAATATATATATATATATATAAAGAGAGAGAGTGTGAGAGATGTGTATGTATGTATGTGTATATATATATATATATATATATATATATATATGCGCATAACATCATCAGGTGCCTTGCAGACTGGCATGGGCGATCATGCCACTCCACAATCTGGGATCTCCTGCAGCATGTATCAGTTCGTGTGCTGTCACACATACATGCCATGCAACAAGACTGTCAAGCATCTTCTCTCGTTGTCTTCCTCTTTCCCCAGATCTTTCTAGTGATCACAACCTCTATTCATAACATGGCCGAAAAAATGATGACTGTCTCCTTTTGATGTGTATGATAATTTGTCTTTGGGCTTCCGCCTCTTTCAAAACCTCTCTTGGTTGCTCTTTTTGGCTGTCCAAGTATTTTAAGCATTCTTCTGTAAAATGACATTTCTGAGGAGCATTCTTCTGTAAAACCACATCTCTGAGGCCTCAAGAAATTGTCTGGCCTGCCTACCGATCGTTCAGGACTCACAGCCATATGTTAGTTCTTTCTGACATGTTGCTATCAAGACTGTGTCATCAGCATAACGCAGATTGTTTATATTGTGCCTACCAACCACAATTCCGGGCGAATCAGTTAATGATCTCTTCTCTGTATAGTGAGAACAAATCAGGTGACAATACACATCCTTGTCGTACGCCCCTCTTTATGCTCTGAAAAATACCTAAACAGTTGCTAATTCTTATAGCTGCTGTTTGCTGCCAATACACATTGGTAATTCTTATAGCTGCTGTTTGCTGCCAATACACATTCGTTATTATTCGTAGATCTTTTCCATCTATGTTTAATACATTTGATTACTTCTGACTGCTTCATGTTTCACAGTCAAATGCTTTTGTAGTTTATGAAGCCTAACTACAAATCAGTGTATACTTCTATAGCTCTTTCTGACAATGTACTTAGGATGTATCTGGCATTGTCTGTACCTTTTCCTTCTACAAACCAGTGTATACTTCTATAGCTCTTTCTGACAATGTACTTAGGATATATCTGGCATTGTCTGTACCTTTTCCTTCTACAAATCAGTGTATACTTCTATAGCTATTTCTGACAATGTACTTAGGATGTATCTGGCATTGTTTGTACCTTTTCCTTCTACAAATCAGTGAAAACTTCTATAGCTCTTTCTGACAATGTACTTAGGATGTATCTGTTGTTTGTACCTTTTCCTTCTACAAATCCACATCGTAATTATATCGGCTGACTTCACTTTCCAAGACATTTCCTTATCCTCATGTATGGCGAGGTCATCAAGAAAGCCATGCTCAT